GTTCTCGTTTCGGCTCTCGAAGTTTTGCCTTGCTTTTTTTTCGTTCTTTTTTTTACTTGACAGCGCACCACGAACCGTCGAGAGCCTATTGTTGTTGAAATTGAGATGTTTGCTCAGGGATAAAAAATATTTACGAGCTGTTGCAAGGTTGAAAAATAGCTTCTACTGACCACTTCTTGTCTCTCATATTTGCATTAGGAAATGGGATGCCCATCCGTCTCGTGCCTGTTAAAAAAAGTTTCAAAAAAAGTGAGGCCGGAAAAATAGAGACATGTTTGGGTTATAAATAGAGTCGTAAAAAAGCGAAAGAATCGTGAAAAAAAAAGATATAAAGCTCTACGTTTTTTTGCATTTTTTTCTTGAAATGCGAAGTGGGAAAAATGAACAATTAATTTTAGCTACAACCGGTACCACACTTGAAATGCAAGGCACAAGAGTAACACGAACACAGTATGGTTTCCGCACATTACAAGAATCATCAGCCAAGATGTGCTTGAAAGTCACTGGATACCCATTACCAGAGATCACATGGTAAATTTGAAATTCTAGAATCACGTAGTTTTGCCATATCGATTTATTGATCGAAAATAATGTCTAGGTACAAGGATGATGTACAATTACATGAAGACGAACGACATACATTCTACGCTGATGAAGATGGCTTCTTTGCCATGACTATTGATCCAGTACAAGTAATTTTGCAGATTTTCTCAATGATATACCTCGATCAACAATCTGGATTATTTTATGAATTTTTCCTTTTCGAATAATAATTCTTTCATGCTTGAAAAGAAAATTTTTAAAACGATTTCATTTTTTGTTCAGGTTGAAGATACCGGCCGATATACGTGCATGGCAACGAACGAATATGGTCAAGCCTCGACGTCTGCTTTCTTCCGAGTACTAAAGGTTCGTATGTAGTCTACGATGAATAACCAAACCTTTATTTCTAATGTTTCAGGTAGAAAAAGAGGCTGCACCACCGAAATTTGTAAATTCGCTAAAGGATCAAGAATGCAAAGAAGGCGAAGTGATTAGCTTCGAATGCGAGGTAGGTGAAAGTCAATTCTTTTGTTCTATGGAGATTGATTTTCCATCAATTCAGGTGGAAGGCTGGCCAGAACCAGAATTAGTGTGGTTAGTAGATGACCAGCCATTACGACCGTCTCATGATTTCAAAATTGAATACGATGGTATGAATGCGAAGCTTGAGATCAGGTAAGTAGCTGTGATCAGTCCTCCATATTCGCAGTTAGCCTATAATTGGCTTATACGATTTTTAGTT